GTAAGTGTTGATATAGCTCATATGCTCACCCATTGAAGTGTTGATACAGCTCATATGCTTATCTATTGAAGTGTTGATACAGCTCATATGATCGAAGGCGAGCTTTGAGGAAGATTATGGGCAACACCCTGGTGCCAGGAGAAGGCAAACTAGGGGCAAATTGGGAAGGACCCTACAAGATCACTGGTCTGGCTGGCAAGGGGGCTTACCACTTGGAGGATCTAGAGGGAAGAGCCATACCCCGGCCATGGAATGCGGCCAACTTGAAATTGTATTATTTTTAAGCTTTTAGCTTTTTACTCTCCTCTTTTTGTAAAGCAATTTTTTGGCTTGCAAAGCAGAATGTAATTCTTTTTGTCAAATTATAGAAGTCATTTTGCTTTAGCGCTTGGATTATTGTTTTAGTGTTACGGACCGAGATGATGTGCTCCGGTTGGAAGAGTTGGTGTTTTGTCCAACTTAGGATTCCCAACCGAGATGATGTGCTCCGGTTGGAAGAGTTGGTGTTTTGTCCAACCTAGGATTCCTAACCGAGATGGTGTACTCCGGTTGGAAGAGTTGGTGTTTTGTCCAACTTGGAATTCCCAACCGAGATGATCTGCTCCGGTTGGAAGAGTTGGTGTCTTGTCCAACTTAGAATTCCCAACCGAGATGATGTACTCCGGTTGGAAGTGTTGATTTGCTCGACTTAGTTACAGCCGAAGTGGCTATTTCGGTTCATGAATTTGTATTGTTCTGTTGAAGTGCTTAGACCGTGCTATGTATTCCGGTTAGATGAGTTATACCGAAATGTTTGCTGAAGACAGAACTGAGTACAACCGTGCATACACTTGTAAAAATTTGAGTTTTCATTGATAAGAAATTCATTACAAACGGAGGGGACAGAGCCCGGTTACATTAAAAAGCGTTGAAAGCAAAAGTGCAAAAACAAGGAAAAAGAACACTAAACTAGGGGGGAGAGATTGGTGAACTCGTCTTCGCCGGCGTCAAGGTTCACGGTAGGGCTGACTTCTTGGGCACCGGGCTCATCACCGCCGGGCTGTTCTGGCACCTCGGCCTCCTCTGCCTCCGAATCAGTGTCATCCTCTCCATCTTCAAGTCCCTCCTCGGCCTCCGCTTACAGAGCGCTGAATACGTCGTTTGCGTATGGCACAAGGTAGACCGGTAGTGAAGCTTTGGGAGGATTGGCAAAAACGTCGGTGTCAGAGCCCTGGTCGAGCTGCTCGCAAGCGGATTTCCAGCCAGCCTTGAAGTATATGTCTTGTGTTGCAAAGACTTGCTTCTTGTAATTCATCTCGGCCTCGTTGAAACCCGCGTTGTTGGCAGCCCGGCAAGCCGCCTTCTTCGATTTCTTCAAAGTGGCAAAAACGTCGGTGTCAGAGCCCTGGCCGAGCTGTTCGCAAGCGGATTTCCAGCCAGCCTTGAAGTATATGTCTTGTGTTGCAAAGACTTGCTTCTTGTAATTCATCTCGGCCTCGTTGAAACCCGCGTTGTTGGCAGCCCGGCAAGCCTTCTTCTTCGATTTCTTCAAAGTGTCAACCTCGGCCTAGAGCTCGTTTTGTTTTTTCTCGGCTGCATTCAGTTGACCGAGCAGCCTGTTATTATCATTGTTGGCCATCTCGAGAGAAGCTTTAGCCCGGCCGAGATCGGCTTGAAGGCTTTCAACCTGGCTGGCAGTGTCGTTGGCTCTCTGCCTAAGCCGGTGGATGCGCTCCAAGACCAAATGTTGTTTCTGAATGGCCTGCACAAGGAAGTAAAGTACATCAGAAAGGGGACCGAGCAAGAAGGACCGAGCAAACACTTGTGAAATGTTAAAAAGAACGCCGACTTACCCTGGCCATGGACTTCACGGAAGATTTTACCAGCCGGGTGTCAGGGACGTGGTCACTGCCTACCACGTCGCCCGGTAGGAGAAATGCTTTGGAGAGATCGAAGGCAAGCAAATGTTCTTTGTCTGCCTTGATCGAAGCAGTCGCCGGGATGTCCTGTCCCCGGTGCTTCAGCTGAGGACGCCAAGCGGGCACGGGAGCAGGAGTTTCAGCTGGATGTTCGGTTGTCAGCTCGGCGACGAGCTCGGCGGAGGGATCTGCCCTTGGTCTTTTTCCAGCCCGGCGCGCTTCTCTGGCAGATTGCCCGGCAGCTGGAGCTGGAGAAGCAAGGGCTACCACGGCTGCACTCGATTGACCGGCAGCCGGGGAGCGGGTGGTGACGCTCGGTATCTCGGCTGAGGTCGCGGTTAGAAGGTTTTTGATCCGAGATCTTTTGGCCATTTCTTGCTCGTCGGTTAAGGAAGGGTAGGATCTGGAGGTGGCGAAGGAGCTCTGAGGAAGTCAGTTACTCTGCTCCGGCGCGGAGCTGAATATCTGTAAGTCGGGGTGTAGCCGAGCAGTTCGTTGCAATCTCGGTGTCGGTACCTAAGCACGGCCCGAATTGCCTCGACGTTTGGGAATTGATAGTTGGCTTGTAAGGCTTGGATTGCTGCAAAGGAGACAGGAAAACCGGTTAGATGCAGAGTAAAGAGTTAGACCAACCGAGCAAGGTGAGCGGCTTACATGAAGAACCGAAGTTTTTGTTTATAGACCAGCCTGGTACCTCGGCTGTTTCGTAGTTGCCGGACACCCAGAAAAAATCGTCGTCGTGCATGTCTTTATCCGGGGTGCCGGTTATGATTTTTTCTTTGCCCGGTCTTATTTTCAAGTAGTAAGCTAGGCCGTCACCGGTGTGGCCCATTGTGTATTGCCTCAATATCTCGGCTAGGCCTAAGTTGGTGCCTAGCCGTTGATTCAATTCGTGCACGCCGTTGATTATTCTATAAGTGTTGGTGGACACCTGTGTGGGTGCCAGCCCGGTGCGGCGGAGAAACTCGGTTATGAGAGGGTTGAGCGGGAAACGAAGACCCCCTTCAACGATGGATAGCACGGTGAAGGGGCACTCCTCCCTACCCCAAGGTGTGGTCTCCTCTTCTGCGAGCTGGAGGTGGACATCGGCCGGGACGCCGTACTCCTCCCTGAACGTAGCCAGCGCAGCCGGAGTATCCACTAGAAAGCGAAATTTCCCCATTTTTGGCCGGCTTAGGGTATCCCGGCTGAGGGGTTTGGCTCTGTGTATTGAATGTTGTCCGGTCCTGAGAGCCTCAGGAATGACAGTGGTCCCCTTGGACTCTGCAGGAAAAGGATGGCAAGTGTTAAGTGTCGGCGCGGTCGCGCGAAAGGTGCTGGTTTTTACCTCGGTCATTAAGGGTGCCAAACCACCTCGGTTGTCTTTCTAAGGAGCCCGGTCGCCCAAGCGGACCAGATATTAGCCCGGTTGAACGGTCAGGTCCTTTGTTATCTCGGTTTTCGCTGGGGTTGAAACAAACATGTTTTTTGCCCGGTTTGGTTGGTTTTTTGGATCAAAAGAAGGCCCAGAGCCCGGTTCACCCCAGTTCTTCAGCGTTCTTCAGGAAGACGAAGAACACCAAGAACAGTGAGGGGTTTGGGACAGATTCTATGGCCTTTGCCCTAAATGCTACGATTTTGTGCCCTAATATGTGTAAAATGAAAGGAAATAGCAACTAGGGGGATCGAAAACCTTACCTTTGGAGAATGGGGGCTGCTCTTCCAAGAATGAGAAATGGCAGTCGTGATAGAGGAGAAGGCTTGAGCTCTGGATCGTCAGATAGTAGATAGGCAGTAGGAAGAAATGGCTTGGGGAGGGTGATGTATTTGTAAGGGTGAAAGGCCGCCCAAATTCAAAAATCTGACAAGAACGGCGGGTTGGTTTCTCGATGACCAATGGGAGCTCGCCACGTGTCCCCATTTATGGCTACGTCAGGATTGAAGCGACGGGATGAAGAGACGAAGAGCCAGCCGAGCTACTTTCGACGAAAAGGCTGTAAGCCGAGGAACATGACCGGGGAAGGATAGCATGTTAGCTCGGTGAAGGCTTGGCGACTTGACGACCGGGGAAATGTTATCTCGGCCGAAGTGAGTAATCCCTGTCACGCTTCCGCGGACGGAATTAAGGGGCAATTGAGAGGGTGAATTGTGATCTGGAGTTTGGCCGAGGTAACGGCCGAGCAAGTTGAGGGCCCAACGGTGCATAGGTGCGAGACGATCGACTTTTTGCCCAAAGTGGGCTGCCAGAATTTGGGCCGGGCAGAGTACGGGCTGAGCGTCACCCCTGACTGGACAGAAACTGCTCGGTAAGGCAGTGCTCGGTCGGACCAGGGTGCCCGGTCCAAAGATGGCCGAAGCCGGATTGACCGAGTGACCAGCTGCCAGGAAGGCATGGACAACCGAGGAAGTTGAGTGGCCGGTGCCCGGAAAGGCGTGGTCAGCCGAAGAGACTGAATGGTCGGCAGGAAGGCCGATCAAAGTAAGTATCCGGGCTAGGCTCGGCCGGGATGCCGCTTAGCCCGGTCCTCCGTTTGTTTATCCGGTTAGGCGCTTAAGGTATGAAGCATGGTACGACCGAGGTAGGGCAGCTCGGCTGCCGAGCTCCAGCTGTGCTGACAGGCAGTTGAGAGCAGGTGATGAATGGCATGGTTTATGCTGACAGATGGGATAGCAGAGCCACGTGTCAGGAGATGACAGGGAGTGGATATGGGGCTCAGAAGGTATATAAGCATGTCTGCGCCCCCCATACGCAACACTCGAACACTCTGTAAGGAATTTCTTACACTCAAACACTCTCTCCCTTCTCTCTATTCCCTCTAAGGTGTGTGCTAATTTGACCGTCGGAGGGTGTTTCCGGCCACACACCGCTGGGTAGCTCACCGTTATTTGCTCGCAGGTGATCGGATATCGACGGAGCTCGGAAGAAAGGAATACGGGCACGCCGGAATATTTGCTCCCCGTACATACAGCTTATAGAAAATAAAATTGTTTAAACAGTTAGTAAAAGGAAGTAGCAGTAAAAAGCGTAATGAAGATAAAAATGTTAAAGTAGAAGAATTTATAGATGTAGAACAGCAAATAGAAAAATTTCAAAAAGAAAAACTAGAGTTAATTCCAAATAAGTATGTATATAAGTTAGGAAAAATTCATAAAAAACAATATTTATTTAAACACTATGGTGAACAAATAATTAGTGTAACTCAAGAAGATGAAAAAAATAAAGCTAAATTTAATAAATAGATAAAGTTATAAATATGCTGTAAATGAACATCTCAAAATGACCCACTTAGGATTAGTTGTGATAGGAGTTAAGGCTTTAACCAGAGAAAATTTAGGAGCTAAAGTTTTTGTATGTCTCTAAGATGATAGGTTTAATGATGTAGGACAGAGTAGCTTAGGCAGCTATGAATTAGACATGAATCAGAAAGGAGGAATAGTTTATTTTACACCAGATTTCCTTTTACCAACCTTGACCTTTCATAAAAAGAAAAAAATAGGAATAAAGAGTAGAGGATATAAAATGAAAAAGGGAAGAAAAGAATATATTAGTTTGCACAGGGTTTTTAGGCTTAGCAGTCTCAGAAAGCAATACCCATTATAGACTTACAAATGATCAAATAGTTAAAATGTTAGGCGCAAAAGGGATAAAGGCACTGCCAGCTAAAAAATATAGTTCTAAAGATAATACGGTATTAGATTAGAATTTAGGAGATTTCTTAGGACAAAAGAGGTTAGCCCTTCAAGATAATTTATTATATCAAAAAGCAGATGGAAGTTATGCAATAAGATTTACTCAATATACATATGTAGCACCAAAAAAACCCGAAGATGATGAATTTAGTAATATAGATAGGAAAGAAAATCAAGATAATTATAGTGACATAAATCAGTTTTATGTAATGATAGAAGAAAAAACAATATCACAAAATAAGATATATAACATCGATGAGATAGATTTAGAAAATTTTATCCTAAGTGATATGAATAAAATACTAGATACTAGATACTATGAATATATAGTTAGGGGAGATACCCATGATGAAGCAGTATCATTTTTAGACCAAGAATTTCATACCGAATATGTACATGATATTTTATAAGATAAAATACTTCCTAACAAAATATTTAAAATACCAAAACAGTCTAACTTAGAAGACACCTTTTACATGAACACTCAAACAACAAAAAGCACAATAACTAGCAATCCACAGCATACGGTAGAAGGACCAGTAGAATCAATGCAATATGAAATAGGAGGAAGGAGACCACTAACCAATATAGGATGTAGTAAAGCTTATCTTAATAAATAGTATAAGTTTCATGGAAAGCGCAGACAACCAGATATGAGCATGCAATTATAACCAGCAACTAACCAGGGAACCCTTTTAGACTTGCTAAATTCAACCCATAGATATGGCAAGAAGTGATAAAGAAATGGTAAAAAGATGCGGTAAAGGCATGGATGAATAATCCCTTTCAATCAACTGATATGTGAGAATAAATGGAAATACTTTTAGGAGATTCAACTTTTAATAGATATTTAACTTTTAAAAGAAAATACGATGAGACAATTAGACAGCTTAAAGGACTAGGAAATAACCCATGAAATTTTACTAGTTTTATAAAAGAAATGCTTATAGGATACGACCCTTCTAGAAGGAATGATTATACTCAAAGTATAGCATTAACCGAGTTCGATCAGATAACATTAGGAAGTTAGAAATATGTTGTACCTTTTAGCAAAGAATATTTAGCCATAGTAACCAGAATTGGAAAAAGTTTTGATGAGGAAATAGGAAATAAATATTTTAGGAAATTACCTGGAGAATTAGGAAGAGAGATAGAAAATAAATGGTCGATTTCTTATGCAAACTTACCAACAAGAATAGTCTTAGGTGAAGTAAATATAAGAGGAGCTTTAGGAATAGGACCTAAAATAGTTTTTACATTTCACAGGCTTAGAGAAAAATATATAGAAGTCAAAATACAGAAAGATTTGAAAAAACAAAACTATGGTTTCTGTAGCAGCATAATATATACTCCTTAGCAATATGAAGCTAAATATAATAGGAGAAAATACAAAAATTATGAGAAATATAAATAAATAAATAAAAAAGTATTGGAAGAAAAAATACAGAAAACCATGGAGAAAACAAAAATTTATTAGAAAGAGTAGAACTTTTAATAGAATAAATTATAAGCGACTACCTAAAAAAGAGAAAGATAAAAGAAAATAAAGATATGTTAGGAAACCTAATAGTAAAAAGTGCAATTGTTTTATATGTGGAGAACCTAATCATTTTGTAAAAAACTATCCAAAAAGACATAAACCTAATACTAATAAACAGATAGAAATATTACATATTATAGAAGATTTAAAAAAATATATAGTAAGCATAAACAGTGATGACTCAGAAATTTATAGCATAATCAGTGATTATGAATATCAAATAGAAGCCCTAAGCTCAAATAGTGATTCAGAAAGTGATACTGATATAGACAATCTTTTAGGAGAACTTATCCAAGAAATAGGAATACCCTCTTCCCATAATAATTTCTTTATGATGATGGAATGCAATCCAGATACTAAAAATGTCAACATAACTTTAGGATTGGACTAGAATTTAATACCACTAGATGCAGTTATTGTAATTGGTTTCCAGCCAAAAATAAGAGAGTTCAATGTTTATTATGCAGCATAACTTATTGTACAGTTTGTTTAGAAAAATTAAATATGACACACAAGATAATGATAGAAAATAAAGAAGAGATACGAGAAGATCATAGTCTAGAAAACAAACAATTACACCTAACAATTAGAGAATTAGAGATACAGGTAAGAGAACTTAGACTACAATACGTGAGATAGAAACTAAGGCTAATTTTGACATAGAATGTTTAGAATTAGAAAATAAGCAGCTTAAACAACAGTCAAAACAATTTCATACTAAATACCCCTTAAAAGATAAACTTGTTAAAGAACATATGCACTCTTTAGAATTAGTCAACCTGGTTGATTTTCAACCCTTTAGTCAATATTCCCAAGCACAGTCTGATAATGCATATTTACCATTTAATTACCCTGTCATACCCAAGTTAAATTTAGTTGAGATCTCTTGTGTAATCAAATTTGCAAAAAAAACTCTTAGTGTAAATGCCATGACTTAAATTCTTAAAAATTCATTGATGAATGTAAAAATGAAGTCCAATTTCATGAGAAATAACACAAATTAAACTCAATTGATAAATTTTCTAAATTAATTTCTTAATTCTTTTCTTTTCGATATATGTAAAATTACATACAATTGGATTCTATTTCTTCTTACATACATTAAACATGTGAGCCATGATTTTTTTTTGAAAACACGCAAGATATATATATGCTTATGTATGTAAGACCTTCAAAACCAAGTTAAAAAATGATGAAACATGAGACATGCAACTATGGATGTGAACTTAGTTTACTATTCATCATCTTCTTACTAATTTCTTTTCAATTACATGAAATTGAACCTAGATCCTTTTTGATTTCAAGTATTAGGTGAATTATTTGGAAGATTTAAATAAGAAATTTACCTCAACTTGTTGAATTTTGAGTTCTCTCTCAATCTCTTATTTTTTCTTAAGCTTTCTTTTCTTCTTCTCTTTAGAGTGAATTGGTGAGCTCCTCAACCTCCCAGCAAAAATGAGATGGTCCCCCCTCTCTCTCTCTCTCTCTCGGTTTACTCCATCCGAATGAGGTAATGAATGGGCTCCAAGATGTCAATACACTCTCAAAATTTTGGTCGGCAAAGATTAAAAATTAATTTTTTTATTTTCATTCGGCTACCAAATAATTTAGTAGCCGAAAGTAGGTATACAGCGACTAAAAGAAATTTTGTCGCCGAAACTTGACATTTGGCGACCAAAAGTTTGGTCGGGAAAGATTAAAAATTAATTTTTTTATTTTCATTTGGCTACCAAACAATTTAGTAGCTAAAGGTACCTCTACGGCTACTAAATTTTTATTTAGTCACCAATTGTCATATGTTTAGCTACTAAAAATTGTTTTAGTCGCCAATTGTAATATCTTTAGCTACTAAATTTTTTTTAGTAGCCAATAATCAACATTCCCCTACTAAAAAAAATTAGTAGCTAAAAAGTTGACTTTTGCCGACTAATATTATTTTTGGTAGCCAATTTCGTGACTTTTGGCGACTAAATTAGTTTTGGTAGCTAAAAGTGGTCGGCAAAAATGCTTTTTCTTGTAGTGAGAAGGGTAAATTACACTAACACTCCTAAGATTTGGTCCAATTGCATTCCACTTTCTGACATTTTGAAAATTATATTCTCATCCCCGTGGTTAATAATTTCATTTCACAAACCCCTACTTATATAAAGGGTAACAACTTTTAGTAGAAAAATAGAGGAAATTATATATATATTTTTTTAAATAAAGCAAAGGAAAGGAAAAAAAAAAAACAAAGGAAGTAAAGTAAGAAAATAGAGAGTGCATGAGTTCAATATTTATATTCCGTTTAAATAATTACAATGGCAGGGGATTAGTGTAATTTTTCAAACGTTAATGGTGATATGTATTAAACCCAAATCTCAGAAGTGTAAGTGTAATTTACCCAAAAAAGAAAAAAGAAAAAGACAAAAATAGTCTGACGTTGTGTTTGATAGGTAATTATTTAATAATTCCAGAGTATGAACACGGGGTATTCTATAGTATTATGAATGGTGGATAAGGTGAGGTATTGTGTTGTGTGATTGAAAATATGAGGGGGCATATTGAATGATGATTGGTTAGAGAGTACAAACATGTGGTATCCTGGGAATATTTAATAATGAAAAATACTAGAGACCCCAAAATTTCTATTTTTACCAAATGTTTCACATCGATGTAGACCCCACACTTATGTAGGACCCACCCCATGTGAGATATTTGATAAAATATTTGATAAAAATTTTTGGCTGTGTTTGGTATGTGTTTCAAACCATGATTCCATACTAATAATCAACCATTTGCTTGTTTATAGTTTTCAAATCGTAATTCCAAATCAATTTCAAAACACATTTTGAAAACACCTTTGGTAAACTAGAGAGTTTTTTGAATTTTTGGTCTACCTAGTGGTTCACCCAGACATATGCCTAGACAGTTTTTAAATTTTTGGGTCTACCCGGTTGTCCGGCCGGTTGACCAGAACAGTATTTTTTTTTTTTTGACAATTGGCACCTTTTATTTGGGAAAAAAAAAATTATATTTGGTTTTGATATTTTTTAAATATAGAAAATATTTTTTTGAAACCAAAATGACAAACTACTTGCACATTTATTTAAAATTAACAAAAAAATATTTTGAAATAAAAATTAATTTGTCACAGTAATTTTTAAAAAATAAAAAATAATAATATTTTGCTTTAATATTTTAAATAGAAAAATATTTTCAGAATTTTTTTAATTTTTTAAATAAAAAATATTTTTTGTCAATAAATATTTATTTGAATTGAATTTTAAAAAGGGTTCAATTATGAGTTTTGAATAGAATTTTCAATGGACTTTTAAGTAGCGTGTTTAGTTATTTATTTATTTATTTTTATCAGCTTGTGTGTTTAGTTATAAGTTATAAGCTTTTTACTTAAGTTTTGAAAACTCTTTTCAAACTTTATAATTAAATAATTTTTCACAAACTCAACACTCATTTCAAAAATTTAACACTCAATTCAAATTATAATTCAAAATTATTTTCAAAACTCATGAATAAACAAATTTTTTTATTTTCAAATCATAATTCTTAAATTCACAAACTCAAAATATAACTCCACACCCAAATTATAATTCTAAACACAAATTAAACATTACCTTAATATTCCTAACATTACTCTTTAATAATTTCCCATGTTGGGTTTAAAAAATTTTTAAAAATATATATATATACAACTAAATTAAATATAAATATATTTTATTAACATTTTTTTTTCCTTATCTCCTCAAATTCTCAACCAAACGCACCGCATAAACCTGGTTCGAATAATAATACTTCATTCGGGTTGGGGTTAAACTTGACCCACCCACTTCCACTGCATCTTCTTCAACCCTGATAACAATCCAAATTGAAAATCTCTCATTTCTACAGAGAGAGTGAGTGAGAGGCCATTGCTCTGTGGTTCGAGGAACGCCATGGACAACAACTGTTGGCAGCGAAGAGAGTTCATATTCCTCATTCTCTACGCTTTTGTCTTCTACGTCATCATCATTCGTCGCTCCCTCCAACTTTCTCACGGTACTCTCTCTCTCTCTCTCTCTCTCTATGCAATCTAAATCTGTATGTTTCATTCATGTATTTGGTAATCTTGATTTCTTATTGATTTGATTTTTTGTTTTTGTTTTTGTTTTTGCAGATCATTACGACAAACTTTATGGTTTGCGTCCCGGATGGATCGGGGATCGGCAAAATGTATGTATTGTATTGTTAAACTGATAAAATTGTCATTTCAGGATTATTTGATTGCAACAAATTATGAGTTAATGAGTAGAAATTTTAGGAATCTGTAGTTGAGTAATATGTGTTTGATTTGTAATACATTGGTCTTTGATTGAAATAATAAACCTTAGCAGATATGGTATTGAAGGGCTTGTTTTGGGTTCCAATCAGTGTTTGGTCATTAATGTAGTTAAAAATTCACGAGGTGGAGGACAATTTATAGTTCCATGCATGATTAAAAAAAATATAAATAATATTAATAATGGGATAGTGAGTCTCAAAGAAGAAGGGGTTCAGCCGTTTGGAACTTGTTCGGTTCATAAAATTTAATGGAAAGCTGTGAAAGAAATTTTAAGTGAGCAATCAATGGTGTAAAATTATTGCCGTCATTAGGAGATTCAAGCAGTGGAGGTAAGGACAATAGAGTCATGTTAGTGATGCCTCTTTCACCTGAAATATTTTTTGGGGAACTTACTTTAAGTTTGAAATATGCAAGATTGGTCAATGCCATACTCTTTCAGGACATATGGACAAAACTGGCTCTTTTTTTTTGGACTTTTTTGACCATCACAAAGTGCATAACTATAAGCATAAGCATGAAGTATATGTCTCACAACAGTCAAGCTCTTTCTCCACCTGGAGAGGTCAACTAGAGAAATACTCCAAGAAGAATTTAATGTGGCTGCATCTTTTTTGTTAGATTTACCAATCAAACAAAATCAAACTAAGCTTGTGTTTCTTTTTTGTTATATGTATGTATATATATTTACTTTGTACTGTTAACAGTTTGTTGGTGTCTGTGTCTCATGGAATAGGAAGATAGAACTTTAATTACAGTGACTCTTCTATTTCCCCCAAAGTACCCATGTCCATTGGATATGACAAGGGTAAGGGTGTGGGATATATGTCCGATACGCATACCCAATTTAGACACTCAAATCCTTTAATTTGTTACAACATATGAAGAAGAAGAAACTCACCTTTGTTAGTGAAATAATATTTTTAGCCTCTCATATGAATCAAAGATAGAAATTTCATATATTTTTTTAATCTTATTTAATTTCTAGTATATATTTACATAATTTACAATATTTTTTCCTAGAATATTATACAATATGCAATATATATGTATATATGACGTATCCCCATTCCCATATCTAATTTTGAATATGTATCCCAAGATCCTAAAATTTAAGTTTATGAAGGCCTGATGCTTGGATACACACCTGCAGGCTGCACCATATACTCATACCCGAGTACATGTAACATACTGAACACATACATCCTTGAGAACTAACTTTCCTTTTTATTGACAAAAATTGATGATTCAAAGCAATGACTAAGGCATGAAATATTTTTCCCGAGTTTTGGATTCATTTTGCTTTTCTTTTTTTCTTTTTTTTGTTGATGTGGTTTATCAATTTTGATAGTTATCTATATTTTTAATTTTCTTTTATTTGATAATTTATTATATTTTCATCTGATCTGTTCATTTTTATGTTCAAAATCAATTCCCAAGAAGTGGGAAATGTTTAATAAGTGAATCTCTTTTTATTTATAGCAATGTGGACCAATACCTGCAAGAAGGCTGTTCTTTGTCTTAATATAAACCCATTGTTATTTTGTTGTTGTGCTCTCTTTCTTTTCATTGTTTTCTTTGTGTTTCCCCTATTGGTAAATCCATCTGTTTGGAGATATTTTTGTTTGTGATCCAAACAATATTCCTACTCTTGATGATAGTCTTATATATTTGGGTGGTAATTATACCCGATTGTGCTGGTATGATGACATAACATCCATGTGAGTGACAAACATGTTTCCTTGTACCATTGTTTTTGGCCTAATATACGTGCTGTCTCACTTTTTTCTCTTGTAGGATGTTTCTGATGCCCAATGGAGAAACTTCCGTGGAAATCTACCCATTCTTACCGTCGTTTTTGGAATTTTTACATTGGTGGCCAATATGTTGAGGACATTCTATCATTTAAAAGCAAAGGGAATGTCCATAGTTTGGCTTTTGATATCTTTGGCTTATTTATCATATCTACATGGAGCTTGGTATGTGCTCTAGCCTCTATTCGTAGTGATCATAAATTTATCATTATCCTTCCTAATTCATCTTGTTTCCCTTACTTTCTTTTCATTGCTTGTTTTCTTTGTAGCGTCATCTTTGTCATTTCGATTGCTTCAGTTAATTTTCTTCTAGTGAAGGTACATGTTTTGCTAGTTTTGGATGCATTCCTGTTGCTCTTAATGTTATGTTTACTTTTGTTGTTTCACAACATCAAGGAATAGGTAATATATAGACAACATGGAGAATATTGACGAGCATGCAAGCAATTTTCTTACACTCGATGAAATTTTCATGAACGATACAATAAATTTATTGTAATAAAGTTGTTGCTCCTGTATGCATAAGTATTTTACATTGATAGTTGAAGTAGAATTTCTTTTGCATCATTTTTAGGGGTTGTTTGGGGTGTCCTAAATAAGTGCACTTTTTGTCTTTTTGAACTAAAAAATTGAGGAAAAAAATATAGATATTTGGGTTAACTTTTTGACTTTCTATGGAAAAATGTGTATTAAAAATTGTATAAATTAGTGTGTAGGGGAAAATTAGGATTGGAAGTTGTGCAGCCGTAATTTTTAACTTTTGGTGAATAGTGATAACTTTTTAACTTTTTGAGTAACTTTTTGACTTTTTGGCTTTTTGGCAACTTGCCAAACTTGGCCTAAACTATGTAAAAGATATTCACATGTCATTACTAATAATTGATGCTTGAATTTGCTTGTAATGTGTACAGAATTTATTACCTTTCATAAAGTTGGACTACTTGGAAGTTGGAATTGACAAGTAATTATTTGTTAATTGGAACCTTTATTTAGCTACATGAATTAAACCACGTCTGGGGTTATAAACTTTAAGAGAACTGAAAGAGAAAGGAATCAAGAGGGAGAAAGAGGAGATTGAGTAAGGCAAAAAAGAATTCCAAGAAGGGTGCAAAAGTGACTTCCATGCATCTTGATGTAAGATAGAAAAGGGAGATGATGGAGATAAAAGAATCTTTGACAGTATAATGAAGTCCAATGTCATCATCCCTTTTAACATTTTTTTTGTTTAAGCCTTTATATAGACTTATTTACTAACCCTAAACCTATATGCCTTACTGCCACAGGAGGGAGGAGCTATCAAATTTATAAGGCACCTAACTTCCAAAATTGCATCCCAGGTCCTATTGTCATGAATTTTATACAAAAAATTCAAATAGGAAGACAATTCTAAATCTAAATCTAAATCTAAATAATATGAACTCATTGTAATGTTAAGATTCTACTTAAAGCTTGGTTTTCCTAGAAGGGCTTCAAATTGTAGTTCAGAACTTCAGGTTGAATATCACATGGTCTATTGTTACGAATCGTTAGCACACCATATGATTTACATAGACTATCTCTGATTTACATAGACCAAAAATGAGTAAGTAATAAAAACGAGCCTCAAGCTGGCATGCTAAGATTTATGGAACTATTAACGTTGAAAAAGTTTTGAATATATGGAAATGGCAGTGAAATATAGAAAATTCCTGTATCGTTTTTCAGAAGAGATACAGACAGAATGATAAACTGTTAATGTAAATATTATAACAAACAATATTGCTACACTTCCCACATTTCTATACAATATTATTCTTACCATCTTGTCAACACAATATTGGTTTAATGGGTCCCATGACTTACGTATATCTCCAATGCAGTGCTGACAATTAGACTAACACATCATATGGTAAGATATGATGGTAGAAATAGATGGTCACTGTAGCATTACTCATAAACAAATTACTATTGGTATAATTGCTTTTTTGGATATGTTCAATTTTATTTTCAAGTTTTGCTGAATTCAAAATTTTCTATTGGACATTAAGGTACAGTGACAGGTTGCACAATCATTGAATTTGTGGAGATGTTAAAATTATATAATACTCCTTTTATTTTATTTTAAATTCTTAAATTATAATGTATTCTTTGGATTGAATTTTGTAGCATCACTATCAGCACCATCAAGTAATGCTTCTAATTGTTGTCATATTTTATCAGATTTTTGTTTCTGCAGATATTTGGACACAGAAAGTATTTTCCATTTATACTCTGGGTTTTCAACGTATCTGTTCTTATATGTAACCGTGTCTATGAGGGGTATCGGTGGTCCAGTTTTGGGTGAGTTATATCATGTTAATGACTAGTTGCTTTGATTCTTGTGAGATATATCGATCCTCTATTATATGCTATATCTGTATTTCTACTCATGATTTTATCCTCTTGTGGACAGGCAACATTGGGCTTATTTGGACAACTTTCGTGGTACCTTTAGATGGCATATCTGCTTTAACTTTGGTATTTGCTTTGCCTCTTTGATTTATGGGAATTCAGTGGGATGATATTTTTGAACATCTCATCTGCATGTCTGTGAACTTTTCATCTCATATTTTATGTCCTTCTTTTGTATATTATGTCAGTAATGACTCTGATCATGGTAATGTGTTAGACTACTCACAGTCCAGGCATAATAATGCTATGTAAAGTATTTCCAGTTCTATGGGAAAAAGTTACCCATATGGTTCTCATATCTGACTTATATGACTGTCTATTGTCACTACCGTTAGTGTAAGAGGAAATTGCTTTGTTATATCTTTCAATGACCTTATTTTGTGTTTACCCATGCTTAACTATAAGCTTTGCTGTTAGTGTCCTTGGTGGTGCAAGTTCGAGTTACGGAAACCTCCTCTCTAGAAATGAGGGTAGGCTGTGTTTTTCTTGCCCACCCTAGACCTCGCTATAGTGGGAGTCTTGTGCATTGGGTCACCCTTTTTTAGCTGAATTTTATGCATATTGTGAGGATCGGAAATCCATAGCTGGACTGGCCATAGGTTCCGTTGCCATTTTTGTTGTTATTTCTTTCTGTTTATTTTCTACTGCATGGATTCGTGAGAAAATCATTTTTTCAATTGACTGAAGTGTGATCTTGTGCAATCATATTTAATGCTTGACAGTACTTTTATGGTTCATCTTTAGAAGAGAAAATACTTGTTTAACACCAAACTGTTGCAACTTGCAAGGAAATCCATTTTCCTCTTACTATGTTACTCACAAGTCACAATATTCAGTTTTCTTCCTCAGTAGCGAGTTTCCACTTCTGAAATTGAGAGCAAGTAGCATTGTTGTTTCTTGAGAAGAGATGGAAACCTACTGTTACTTGTTTAATATTGACCAAGAACCTTTGTATTTGGAAAATTTTTGTTTTAAATGTTCTTCTTTTCCCACAGAAGCAGGTAGCAAGATCCATCGTTTCTTGACTTGTGTAATTGATGAAGAAAACCTAAGCAATTGGGAAGAAACATTGTTAACTGACTGCTTTCCTTCAATTGAGTTCTTTAGAAAGCAGAGATTATTAGTTGTCTCTGTAATTCCATGCAGTTGGGTCAATATATTTGCTCTTTGATGGATAGAATGATGTATATTCTTAAGTTAGTTTAGGCACTCTATATGGCTTCCTATATTCGTGGTTGCAAATGGGTCTTGTGATGAAAAATGGAGCCATCACCATATCTGATAGTTACATGAAAATTTTTAGTTCCTCTTGAATGGCAGTTTTTTCTTTGGAGTCAATTCTGTTTTTTTCACTTCTCCCCGATCTGTATTCATTTGTCTGTTGAGCTGCTTAGATTCGCTAGAAAATCAACCAAATAGCTCCAGCGGTACCAGAGCTACTCTTTGCATGATATACATTTAATCCAGCATCACTGTTTGTGAGATGGCAGCCAATTTCTTCATTGGCCCCAATATAGGTGATGATTATACATCTAGTGCACATTTGCTTGTGGGAATCAAGGTTGGGAATTGGCATCTTGTTGAATTTCCCACAGGACTGGGCCACATTTGTTGTGTACAAAGATGGTAATCCTTTTCTTAGGGAATAGGATAGAAAAACATTCAAGGAATTTCAATCCCAGCCAGTTTTTTCTTGATTTTTTATTTTTTGGGGAGGGGGGAGCATGGCGTGGGGTTATTATCATTTCACTATCCATGGGAATTACAGCGTAAACATGAAAGGAGTTCTTATGGCCATGATTATTGAGCCAATTAGTTTATTAATAATAAATTAAAGTACTCAGAATTATTTTCCTGATAAGTGAAGTCTCAGAAATATTAATCCTATTAGAACAATTCAAAAAATATACATACAGTTAGTATGGAGATTGCTATAATAGTGAATGATCAGGCTGCCAAGTTTGAGAACATGAATTCAAGTCTAAAGGGCTTCCATTTTTGTATTCTTTGCATCATCTTGATACCTTTTAATAAAGTGTGGTTATTTATCAAAAAAAATATATATATATGGCTTTGTAATATTATAATCTTGGTAATGACATCCTTATCCAGTAGCACAAACCCATTTCTTTACTGACTTTGTCACGAATGAAAATTTTGTTTTTTTAATTAGTTTCAATTTACAAAATTTGATTTGGTTGTCTTGTTGACAGTTATTTTGCGCCTGATAAGCTTTGGGTATGACTACCATTGGGCATCTCGTAGTTCTCGTTTCGATCAGAAGGTATTTGTTCTACTGCAATGTTCTTCTATAGAAGTCTTTGTTGGTGTTTTTCTGTCGAGTTGCTTATTTTTTCCCAACCTTCAAACTAGTTTAATCTGTGACACTACCAGATGAAGTGATTTTAAAATTTCTATTTCATATTAGTGACCTCTCTAAAGGACGTATTTCATCCACATTTCTTAATGTAGTATTGGGCAATGCTGTCAATTTTGTGTAAGCAGAAAACGAGAAACACATGTTTTTTTTCTTGGTTAAAAACAAAAACGAATAACATGTTTAGTAAACACATGTTTTTAAAACAAATAAACATGAAAACAAGAAAAGATGTTTATTGAATTGTAGGAAACCGTCTTTTTCTCCCCTCAAAACAAGTGAAACCATCTTTTTTTTTTGTTGCCTCAAATTTGGAAAATTGTTGCCTTTTTTTGGCAACAAAAACAGTTAGGCCCGTTTAGGTGCCGTTTGGTTAAGTTTACAGTTTTTTCTTTTTTAATTTACAAAAACATTAAACATTTTTATGTTTATTTTTGGTAAAAACAAGAACAAAAAATATGTTTGGTACACATGTTTTAAAATTCTGTTTTGAAAACAAGTGAAAGGGGTGGCCGACGGAAGATGGTGGCCGGATGTGGTCATCAGTTGAGTGGAGGTGGCTGGCTGTTGGAGGTGGTTGGCGATGGCTGAAGGTGGTTGCCGACCAAGGAAGATGGTGGCCGAAGGTGGTTTCCAACGGTTGAAGATGGTCATTGGTCATTGGAGGTAGTTGTTGAAGGAGGTCATTGGCAGTGGTGGTCAGAGGTGGGGGTAGCCGGTGGTGGTGATGAGTGGTGGGTGTTGGTCGGAGGTGGTGTAGCAAAAGGAGGAAGGAAAGAATTTTTTTTTCAACAAATAAAACCAACTTTTTTATGGTTACAAAAATTTAGCACCCTCGGGAACTATAGAACCCACACAACACTATTCACACCATATTCACACCAACTGGACGATAGTCCGTTACTGATGCATTACAATTCAAAGCTAACTTGTATAAATCAGCTAAGACCTCTCTCAACTGTATGTGACTGCACCTAGGGACGGATTTAGGATTTGAGGTTTGGGGAGGCAAAAACACATGTAAGTTTTCATCAAAAAAAATTATTATAAAATTTTAAGTTTTGATTTATACCAGCACAAAAAAATGAATAATATTACTATCAATCGAACATTCTTTGTCAACATAATTGAGAACAAAAATATAATTTGACATATTTCTTTTGTCTGCATTAACTTAACAAAATATTAACTATTACTGTGTCTCTGTCTACTAAAGTTAACTATTTGAAAATGTTGTAATCACCATTTTTTATACTAGGCTTGACATCAAAACCTTAATCAATATCTTTCACAATCAATATGATCAAGTAACTTGTTACAAAATCATCTTCCATCTTATTACGCAGTTTAGTTTTGAAAAAAAAAATTATAATTGAAAATGTATGTTTTTATGAGTATAATGATAATCCATTTCAATAAGCGGTATTAAATTTTATGATCTTATTTTAAGAATGTCATGTTGAAGTAAACGATATTTTTATTTCCATACAATATTCCTATTTCTAGAGACTGAACAAACAAAAATGAATGCAAAATAAGATGCATAAGTGTAATTTATAAAAGAAGAAAAAAAACATAAATGACATATGAGCATAAAACAAGAATAGTAACAAATAAAAGAACATGAGTAACTCTCTAAACAATATAGAAATATAACAAATAATACGTATAATAGATAGAATACATCAATATTTGATAAAACTCAATTTAGAAACTATTTTTAAAATTTTGTTATGTAAATAATTTGGAGGGTGCAAACTACTGAAATTTTGGAGGCGTGAAGTATTCCAGTTAGAAATTATCTTACTAATCACTAGTATAATATGCATAGTTTTTTAAAATTTTGGGGGTGTGACTGCACCCTCCTGCACCCCCTAGATCCATCCTTGACCACACCATGGGTCCAGCCAGAATCTCTCCCTGCTTCCATTCCCTATCTTAAAGAAGATTTAGCAAAACTCATCCCAAAGTGGCACACTCTCATAATGCCTTTCCACAACCCTACCCCATACAAACTAGCCACAAAATCTGTGGACCTATTACTTCATTGATCCATGTACTTTCCTTCCACCACTAGTCTCCACAAAATCTCCCTCTCGAAAGCAAATTTCAAAGCCACTTACCGAACAATGCTTTTTTAAATGAGTCAAGCTTCCAAACTCCTAGATCTCCTTTCTCAATAGGCAAGTAAACTAATGACATTTGTAATTCTCACAGCGAAGGCTGGAAATTGTAAAGCAGGGAGACTGCAGCAAATAAAGCTAGGAATATAATGATTCTAGCCCCTGGATGTGTAGACACATGGAATACTGGATAACACAAATATGGCAACATATCTGTAACATAGGGCAGGAAATTCTGTACTGCCCACAATAGTGTAGCACAAGAAGCTTACCTCCTGTCAGTTGCTTTGGATTCTATATGTTCACTACACTATGTCCATGTTCCACTATAAAGTCAGTATTCTTAAGCTATACTCTTGACTTTATTGGTAATTTCCTTATGTTTTGTATGCCAGGATAACAGTGCATATGGACTGATGTAGTTTCTTATTTCTATAATTTAATTCTTTTTTTGGGTTCATAATTTTATCTTTATTCTCATTAGTTATACTTCTTGTTTAGTCACGTGGAAGTAGTAGTTGGAATTATCCATTCTTTATTTTGATGCTAGTCTTATTGATATTTGACCTTTATCCTGATTGCAGAAGCACATTCAAAATTGCCCTAGATGTTCATCAGGACAAACTTGCTACCTGCTATTACAGGTTGTCTGTTACTTCAGTATGAGTTCTAGTATAAGTGTACTTGCTAGTTTTTTTAATGGCTAGTTTCAGGACTAATATCTTCATTTGTCTGAATTTATATTTCCCAGGAGAGAAACGTCCAGAATGATAATTTCTCTTTCAGTATATACTTATGTTATTTGGTATATGCTCCCCTCTATATTGCTGGACCAATTCTAAGCTTTAATGCATTTGCTTCACAGGTTTGTTATTTATAATTGTTCTTTTTGTTTTATACTAATTCTCTCTTTATTTTGTTTGAAATTTCTTTTTACCATAGATGTGACTCATTTCTGCTACTAACTTTTACATTCATTTTACTGAAAGGTGCAGAGATAATTATTTTTATGCATTATCATGATTGCTAGAATGAGCCACAAGTTGTTTGGGTTTGATGTTTAAAACCACAATTCAAATATTTTGAAAAGTGGCTAACTGGTCCTTTTATTTTTCTTTTTGTTTTTTCCTTTTCAGACAAAAAATAAAAAAATAAAAAATAGAAGAAAGAAAAAAAATTGGCACCATGTATCATTGGAGCTATGAATCTAGAAGCAATGATTAATTTGAAATGTTAATCAATAATTTCTGATACTTTTTTTAATTATTTCCAACGTACTATTGGATTTTCCTTCACTTTACTCTTGATTGTTGCCTTGACATTTTGTTTTCAATTTTTTTTTGTTCAATCTTCCTGTCTGATATCAATTAAGTTCTGTTGGCAGAATTATTGGGCAAACTGATTTTGTATTTACTTACTTTTTGCAGTTAGATATGCCTCAGAAAAACTATTCATTGAGAGGAGTGGCTTGGTATGGGTTGCGCTGGTTTTTTAGTCTTCTCCTAATGGAATTAATGACACATTTATTCTACTACAATGCATGTGCTATAAGGTTGGCTGCTAAAACTCAAGTTTGTATCTTATCATGAATGTTAAATTGTATTGAGTCTTATTTTCTGACTGAATTGTGTTACTGCATCATTTAGTGGCTTGTGGAAACAGTTATCTCCGATGGACGTCTTCATCATTGGATATGGGGTAAGAATTGATGCCCAGATAGTTGAGTAGTACTTGATTGAATGCCAGGTGGCTTAGTTTTCTATTGTCCACTATTCAAATCCAGATCAGTTTTTATTTATGATCAAGACAACTTAGGTAGAATAGTTAATATTACATGTGATGTAGATAAAAAGGTATAGAACCATGTGTGACATAAATTAAATTACTTTCTCCAATGTGTGCAAACAGAGATGCCACTTTCAATGATGGAAACTGGCCTTTGTGTTACAGATCGGTGTCTAGGAAGCCATATTGCAGTGTGTACGGCAGATTTGATACCATAGAAAGATCATCCTATTCATATCCTCTCAAAGAACTATAATATATAGCATCTATGACTACTCTCTATGGGATAAGGCTTTTAAAGCTTAGTGTAGGCAAACCTACAGACAGTCAATCTACAAGTACCCTAGGGCATGACCCAATTCTTTGCAAAAGCTAGGAAGAAAATGTGCCAAAGTGGATTAGAAGGGGGAGTTATTTTGGGATATGATCTGCATTCTATGGAGCAATTTGGAATAATAATCCTCATTTTGAGAATACCCAATCAGCCTATCCTTACAAACTCAGTAATTGTAAATTTCTATTCCTAAAGATGTTATTCAACCAGGCAAGACTGCTTCTAAAGGAATGAGGGTTTCTGAATCCCAAGTTGTTAAATCCATGAATTGCTGCTGGAACTTGGTGCATAAATATTCCTCTCTAAAAGTGAAGTGCACAACTTCTATTCTCATCTTGCATGTGAAACCTATAACCATATGACAAAATGCCAATTACCTCTTCAAGGATTATATCTCCTCATGCTAGTTCTGTTTAAAGTTGGAGAGCACACAACTCCTTTGTATTGCAATTGACTTCACAATTTCCAGTCAGAAAACCTGCGGACTGTATATTCTCTGAACATCCAGGAACGATAGAACTTTAACATTTTAGTATCACTTCTGTTGATTACAATGCAACAGGTTCTAAACTTCATGTGGCTCAAGTTTTTTCTAATCTGGCGCTACTTCAGGTTCTGGTCACTGGTATGTTTGTTCCTATAATTTATTTTTAATATCCTTTTTATCTACTCTCCCCTCCCTTGTATTGCAACATTTTCAAGGTATCCAGTACCTGATCTTAGGTCAGATCAATAAGCATCTTCGACATAACAATTTTAGCATAGGATTTGCTTATCAAAAAAAGGGGAAAAAAAAAAAAAAGTTTAGCGTTAGTTTTTTATATTATTCGAGGAAGAAACTTATTTACGAACTTAATGCAATTGTAGATTGGTGGCATTGAGCCTCCTGAGAATATGCCAAAGTGTATAAATAATTGCTACAACTTGGAAAGTTTTTGGAAAACTTGGCATGCTTCCTTCAACAAATGGCTCGTCAGGTGTAGCTTTCATCTTATCTTGAGTTTCTGTTACATTTCTGTTTATAACACTCATATTTGGTTGATGATTATAATTACAGGTACATGTACATTCCTCTTGGTGGTTCTCAAAGAAAGTTGCTCAATGTGTGGGTCATCTTCACATTTGTCGCCATATGGCACGATTTAGAGTGGTACTTGTTAAAATTCACCTACTACACACCTACCACTACCACCTACTACACACTCACCTACTTCACCTACTCTCCACCTACTCCTCACCTACTCCATACCTACTACACACTCACCTATTCTCTTCCCACATCCTCTCTTCTATATATAGGAATCATTGTAACAATTACATATATCAATCAATAATACCTCAATATTTTTACAGTACTCTTAGCTTCTGTTAAGCTTTCCTATATTGGCTCATTATTGCTTTGTATGTATTTTAAAGCGCAATCTATTTTAAATTAGATCTGCATCTAAGAACTTATTGCTTTGGCTTCAGGAAGCTTCTTTCATGGGCATGGTTAACATGTGTATTCTTTATCCCAGAAATGCTTGTGAAATCAGCCGCAAAATCTTTTCAGGTGATATTAATTTTTCTTACCCGTACTCTCTCTTCTTCATTTTTTTTTTTTTTTTTTGAATTTAGCTAATATCATTATTTTAATGTCATATTTCTCATGCTATTATTTCTGCTGTCAGGTGCGGAGTGCTTTGGGGGAGTTTATTTTCCGTGAACTTAGTGCAGTTGCTGGTGCTATCACAATCACTTTACTAATGGTCTGTCTTTTAACTGTTTGACGCTGGATCCTTATATTTATTCTCGTAATGTATTGCAGTTAGCAGGTGATGCCTGTATATTATTTCCATCTTGTCTAATGGGGCATCTTAATGCGATGCCTTGTATGGTGGTGCAGAGTCATTTTGGGTATCAATGCCTAGAATTGCACTTAATAAATTACAGAAACAATTGTATTGTTGTTGCAGTGACACTAAATTGATGAAATTTGTAGATTCATAGGGAAACTAAGAAAAAGTTTGTATGGCATTTCATGCGGTCTTCATCCACCAAGGAAATCAATGTATTTGCCTTTATTGCCAGGAAGGTTGAGACATGCTAGGGCTAAACTTGAGCCTTAAACACAGCTTTATTGTGCAAAATGAATTATTCACTAATATTTAGCAAAGTATTTATGGTAAAATAGTAGTAAGGCCCTGCAAAAAAAAAAAAAAAAAAAAAAAGAAATGAAAAACAACAACAAAGAAGGTTGTGTAATCTAGAATTAGAATTTTAGAATGATTTTGAATTTCATCTAAATTCTATTAACATAATTAACTCCGTTGAATTATAAATTGGAATGTTCCCCAATTTCCTGTTATACCATTATTTTCCTAAGATTTTTCTTTTTCTAACAATAGTTTCCATTTGATTCAGCATACGGTAATAATGAAGCTTTTATTTCTGCAGGTGGTTAACCTTGTTGGCTATGTGATTGGACCATCAGGCATGAATTGGTTGATTTCAAGATTCCTCCGGAAAGAAGGTTAATTCTCTTAATTATCTCCCTTATTTTGTGCAACACATTTCCTATAGTATCTATGTTACATGGAGACTTCTAAATTTGTGAAGTACTCATGTGGGTGAGGCCGCCCGTTAGGGTGTCAGATATGTCTCGACATGTCTAGTTGGGCATGCACCCAACAAATACATTTAGCTAATAGAGTTTACTGTTGAATTATGCATAAAGCTCTACCTCTATGCATAAAGCTCTACCTCTATGCATAAAAGCTCTACATTAGTTTGTGAACATTATTTTTCCCTAAATAGATATTAAATTTAGCTGTGTCGTGGTGGCAAGTGTACTGAGTCTATGTAAGTAGTGCAGAGTTAATGCCCTTTTTTAATTTTTGCAGGCTTACCTACTCTGGGCGGCATGTTTGTTACATTTTATGTGGGGACAAAGGTAAATGACCACATAATTTTGAAGTTGCCTGATGATGAGTTTTTAAAAAATTAACTTGAGAGGCTGATTATTTTTGCAGCTCATGTTCCACATCCGTGATGCCAAGCAAAGGACTGACTAAAATTAAAGGCACCACAAGGTTTTATTTCTTGTCCAAGAGTTTGCACATGCTGGCTGGGCCATGTGAATTAAAAGTCCTTTTGAACAAAAGTAAAAGATCTTCGTTATAGTTTAGGTCTGACATTACGCATTGTTTAGAAGTTAAGAAGAAAACTATTGAGAATGACCTGAAAAGATAGCCATACAACAGACAATTCCATTTTCATGTTTGTTGCTATTGTTTGCAGATCTCTGTAGACCTCGTGTAGTTTTGTGTTTGCTTGCTAATGTATTCCTGAGATATGTTTCTTGTTAAACAATATATTCTCTTTCCACTGTAATTCTTGCCTACACACATTGCACATGTGCCTCTGATATCTCTCTCACACAGCATTGATCATCTTTCTCCAACTTAATTTCGGATGTTTACAGTGATAACAAATGTTAAAAAGGGTTGAAATTTCTGTTAAGATCATCTATGAAATTTCTGGGGAAGGATGTTCTTATTAATATGAGGTTCCCCGATAGTCTTTGCAGGAACACAATCCATCTCTCGATCAAACAGTTTCTTAACAATTCAAAGAGTTGTTGTTCCTTGTGAGGTTCTAGCCAGCCCAAAAGCAATTGCTAACTTCTCAGTGTGATAAGAATCAAATTTCTCAAAACACTCGAGTGGTTGATTCTGGCACTGCCACTGCAGTTTCTCTTGTATAACCAACTCTGGTGAACTGATGGATTACTTTCTCTGACATCCGATAAATTTCTCTGGAATCAGGATGGCACGTGTCACCAACTGCAATCCATCTCCAACCAGGTGTGGTCTTTGTTCCTTCTTTCCTGATCAACTTTCTCGTTCTTGCAACGTCTTGTTGGTCGTTTGCTTCAGTGCATGCACCGGCAATAAGTATACAGTTGACGGCACTCAGTGTTACTAGTTTTCTTTTCATCCTTGTCACTTAATTCCTTTCATTTAGGTGAGCAAAAAGATGGGCCTTGTCAATGACATATAGGGCTACAACTGAAAGAATAAACTGATTCCAGTATTTGGAAGAAAAGTAATGCTAGAGGCTCTAAATGTTTTACCAAATATTGGTAGAATATTTGGTAAAACATTTAGGATCCCTAGCATTAATCTTGGAAGAAATTTGAAGGAAGACAGATGTTAAAAAAAAAAAGAAAAAAAGCATTGCAAATCATACTGCACAGATCACTAATTTCAAAACCATAACTTGAACAGGTTGGGAAAAAAAATATGCATAGCTTTAGAGAAAATCATAATGAGAGATATAGCAAGACAATGAAAAGTGGTTGGGACGTAAATAGAGAACAGATACTTTTAGGAAATCAAGTCAAGGAAGTTTTTTGAAAGAATAATGTTTGGGACTCCCTTTTGGGGGTCACTCCCTCACCCCCCTTTGCCACGTGGCAGGTGGTGATTGGAGGAGCAGGAAAAAAAAGAAAAAGAAAAAGAAAAGGTAACCAATGAGAGAGAGAAGGGGTCAAAGGGGGTGGGGGGAAAAAGGGGATGAATCATTACTCTTTTTGAAATTTAGGAGTGGTTTGATAGTTGATTTTTTAATATTTTATGAAAAGACGTGTAGATGTGATAATTTGTAATAGTTTTTTGGGTTTTAGACAAAAATAGGTTATTTCTAAAGTTAAAAGGTAATCAGGAGATTTAGAATTACGGGACAAGGAATCGATAACACTCAATTATTGTGGGTCCGACATGATTCTATTTTTCGATGTCACGCTATAAAAATCTATTATTAACTCGCGTTTTTTTTTTTTTTGGGCTAGAAAAATGCTCTGTAGCTCGAATTTTTGATACTCGAGTGGCCTAAAAAGTGAATTTTTCTCTCTACTATCTATATGTTTCCTCTCCTCTCCTCTTTATATTCGTTAAACACTCTCATTCAAACACTCCTGGTATCTCTCTCTTTCTCTTTCTCTCTCTTTCTCCCTCCTCTCTATCACACCATCCCAACCTCCTCTCTCTCTAACCAGCAAAACTGCCTCTCTCTCTCTCTCTAAAAGCATCCCTTTCATGCCTGAGAGAGTTTGCAAATTTTGATTCGATTTCACCGGAGAGAAAAAGCGATCTATAGCTGTGAGGAACCACGATCTATGGCTGTCTCAATAGATTTGGGTTTGATTTTGTCTGATTTGGGTTTTGTTTTTGATTTGTGGCAGTGGGTTTGGTTTTGGATTTGGATTTTGTTTTGATTTTGATTTTGATTCTGAGTTTGGATTCAGAAAGAACAGAGGAAGAAGAGGAAGGGAGAAGAGAGGGGAAAGGAAAAAGAAAAAAAAAATGATTTTGATTCTGAGTTTGGATTCATAAAGAATAGAGGAAGAAGAGAGGGGGAAGGAAAAAGGAAAAAAAAAATTGATTTTGATTCTGAGTTTTGATTCAGAAAGAACAGAGGAAGAAGAGGAAGGAAAAGAGAGGGGGAAGGAAGAAGAGAAAGAAGTGAGGGGGAAGGAAAAAGAAAAGAAAAAAAAAAGAGGTGCCAAAACGATCGTTTGGCACCTTGAGCCATTCGGGCCAGGGAATGTTCGAGCTACCCAACAGCTTTGTTTTGGCTAATTCTCATTTGGATGATTGCGTTCAAAATTTGTGTTGTCTAACCAGTCACAAACAATGGTCACACCCTAGGTGATGAATTGCTTTTCACATGCGCTTGTGCTATGTTTTGATGTCACGCTCTAAAAACTCATTATTAAGAACTTGCATGTTTGAATAATTCTCAATTGAATGCCCACATTCAAAATTTGACAAGGCAGTGGTTACACCCTAGGTGACAGATTGCCTTTCTGCACACGGTACAAAACTTAAACCTCTGAAACCCTACAACAACAATTTATTGTTGCGAGGGTGGGCACGTTTCCCTTTCTTTGTTAGGAAAGAAAAGAGAAGAGAAAGGAAGACGAACGGCCTTTTTCTCCCTCTGCATACCATATTCCTTCCCCTAAAAAAATTGGGGGGGGGGGGGGGGGGATTTGTTGTGAATATGAACTCCCATGTTTTTCCTTACATATATAAGATATACAAGAATAATCATAAATAACCCATGTTTTCCCTTCCTCTCTTCCTTTCCAGTTTACCAAACAAATGCAATTACCTTTCTCTATGGACACCTTTTCCATCTCTCAAACGAAACAGAGCATAAAAAATGAACATAGCCCCCTATCCTCTTAACTGCACATAGATAATAATAATGATGATTATGATTACTATAGTCAACAAATTCATTTTCACTTTTCATGAAAAAAATTGAAAATTTGTGATAAATCTGGTGTTGTGACATGAATTACATAAATCAAGAAAATTTGTGATAAACCGTGTGGAAGCTTCGACGGGGTTTTCAGCTTCATGTGCCAAAGCATACACCTCTGGATAGCAGTGTGGAGTGTGTGGAACCCAAAGCTAGAGTTGGCAGGCTAAAGTTGCCGACGACCTTGGGCCCGGAGTCTGTACATGCTTGCACAGAGAACATCTTAGGCTTGATTATTGGTTTTGGAGATCCAAGAACGCATTTACTTTCCTGTTACATTATATAATGCTTTAGAGAGACATATCACTTGGGCCTGGAGCCTTTCATTTTCTTCAAGATTTTTTCGATCGCATGAAACATCCACTATCACATTTTTGTTCAAACATGGTTAATAAAACTAAAGCTTCAAGTTCAAACATGTTCTATCTTGCATTCTTAGAACAAATAGATGACTGGATGCTTTAAATGCAAAATGGAAACATACCTTTTGCTTGATGGGTACTGCCGTGCTAACAACTGGTTTAAAGAACGATTCTAATCTGCTTGGGAAAAAGTAAGGGAAGTAAAACAAAAACAAACAAAAGGAAAAAAAGAAAAGAAAAAATGGCGTTAAAGAAGCATAAAGGAACAGCACATCTGAACTCATTTGCACTTTCAAAGCATTCATACCGCCCCCGAGTTGACTTGTTCTTGGCTGCTCTGATTTTTTCTATTGCCTAAGATAATCAAAATACAAAATTACGTCAATATACTTATCATGATCAAATAATTAAAAAAACCACGTGTCCAAACTGCATAAGACATTCTGATAATAATTTGCAGGCATACCTTTATAATTCTGTCACTCTTAAACCCATTTTCATTGACAAGAAAAGTTATCAACCCCTACAAGCAGAACAACAGAAAGCACCGTTTAACATGCCAAAAGTGAAAAAAGAAAGAAAATTAAAAAAAAATCACAGTCAATTACTTCTTCATCTGGAGCACTCCATTTAATCTCAAATCGCTCGTCATCAACAAAGACTAATGGTTCATTAAAAAGGCACCGAGCCTCTTGATAGGGCCAGTTATCAGGTATCAGGTACCTGCATAAGAATATATAATTAGAATTGTGACATAAGTGGCATATAAGTGCATAAAGACAATGCCATAACCAAATGACTGATATGGCCAGTCATCAGGTATTTTCCAGTGTATTTCTCATTTTTCATAACCAAATGAATGGATAAACAGTAAAAAAAAAAAGAAAAAGGAGCACCTCTCTTTGTTTATATTCTCCAGTATATGCTCTATCGAGCCATGTTGCCAGATGAGCTTTAAAGCAGTCTGCCCCCCAATACCTGAATAAGAGTACAGCATTCAAGGGAAGCACCAAACAAACTTCAACCATATTTTTGTAAATAGCAGAAAAAGGTGAACCTTCGGGTTAAATAAAATTTAGAATAATATAAAAGATGAAAAAAAAAATTAAACAAATAAAATCCTCTAATCATGTTGAATCATCATTCTTCTACCTTTTTGTTTTTTTTGGGGGGGGGGCTTTGCTCATGACCACAAACCTCTAGGGGGTAATTTGATTATTTCCAAATGCATATGGTCTAGGGGGTAATTTGATTATTTCCAAATGCATATGGGCCAAATCACAAAGGGGTAAAGGGAAATTTTCCCTTCATTTTTTTTTTTCCTTAAAATTCTACAATTGTCAACATAAAACTTTGAAATTAATTGAAGTCATTCATTAGCTTCTATAATATATTCATAGCATACAAAAATTTATGTTTATACATTGACATATCTTAAGAAACATGGACACTTCTAAAAAGGTAACGTGTTGTGTCCGACGCGGAAATGACACAACACTTGCTAAACACTTCCTAACATTTAGACACATAAGAAATTTGAATAAAATAAATTGAGATCCAATGATAAAACAAAAAACAATGTAATTTATACTCATTCTCCTCCTTTAGACTATTAAAAATTATCATCTTCGACTTAAATATTCATGTACATGACATATAATAATTGTTTCTCCTTATATATGACATATAATAAATGTATAAAATTACTTATTTTGTATATGTCCCTCACGTGTTGTATCTTATATTTTTTGAAAATTTGCATGTCGACGTATCCGTGTTGTGTCATGTGTCTGCCTTCATAGGCCATATGCTTCCATGTTTTGTATCCTACTTTTTCATTACTTCTTGTGTTGGGTCTTGTGTTAAGCCATTTTGATGCCTTGTATCTGTGTTTGTACTAGTTACTGCATCCAAGCTTTCCTAATATAACCCAACCCCATTACTAATAGCCCAAAATGTGGTAATAGAAGGAAGAATGCATTGATCACAAGTTGTATCCCAACATAAATTGACATTTTTAGTTCTTTTTTCTTTTAGGAAAAGTTTAATTTAACTTTCAAAACTAATAAAACAAACATGCATCACATGATGCTTCTATCAATTACTAACTGAACAGACAGAAAGCTGTAATATTCTTCACAATAATGATGTCAGTAAGAAATTATATTACCCCGAATGCTATCACAATAATCACACCCAGAAAGAATGCACAAGTCGATGAATTGGTCCATGGTAAGATTTAGCTCCTCCAAAACCTGGAAAACAAGATCGGTTGTGGAAATACTAATTCAAATATTGAGCAGCCACAACTGAGTTCAATGTTCTTATGCACCTTTGAAACTTCAAATTCCATCACTGGGACTTTTTTTGAGCTTGGATCCATTAAATGGCGAAGAAATCTAGGAGCTCCAAAAGTTAGAGAATCCATGTCTTCAGAGGCAACTGCATAAACCTGACACACACACAGATGTTTACCATAAATTTCTCACATTTCATTTATCAAGGGAACATAAGTGCATCTTGTGCAAATGGAATGCATCAATTCATTTCAATATAATTTGAAATCACAAATCTATCTCATCGTATGAGTTCATTACAGATGATGATGATGACGATGATGATAAGAAGTAAAAACAATTTAGTTGTACATTTAATTTCTATATGACATAATAAGACCCCCCAAAATAACAATTTTTCATAAAAAGTGAGACCTTTACCTTTCCAGATTTGCAAAGAGCAGCACACTGTGCTTCTGCTTCTGAAGGAGCCTAAGAAAACCCAACAACATGATGCAAGTAAATTTAACTTTACTCGGTTTCTTTCTTTATTTTTTTATTTAAACTTTTGTTTGTGTCTCTTTGTGTGTAGAAAAGGAAGTACCTAATCAGTGCAACCCAAAAATACCATTACAGTACTTGGCCAAAAAATAAATAAATAAAATTACCATTACAGTAAAAGAGGAAACTATTTCAATACTTGCTGCACCAACTCATGCCAGAACTAAATTATTTTCGGATTGTCACCTCAATTACAGGCACTCCCATGAGCCTTAGAAGTTTTTTACAGTCTTCATTGTGTTTCTTTGTCACCTGCAAAACCAAGGAGGACATGGCCCTCAACAGCATGTGCACATTAACATATCCTCTTACTTGCAGGAGATTCTCAAGAAAAGGAAAGGAAAAAGAAAAAATTATCCCCCAAAAAGAAAAGGTGAAAAAGAACAGCAACCAACCACCATATTGAAATAGAGGGACAATTGCCTTACTTGCAGGAGATTCTCAGGATAACATTGCATAATGATCCTATTGCTACATCTAGTGCTTTGCTGATGTTTAGAACTTGTTTATACACTATGGAGAGGTGAGAGTATATCTATAACTTGATTATTGAGTGTTAGCTACTCATTAAACACGGTTATACAAAAGCCCCTATGCACCCTGGAACATGGTTCCTGTGAAGGGAATAGAAATTATGATGTCTTGGTGATGCAGGACAGCTTTGAATACTCAAAATATAGCAGCCTCATGAACAGTTTATGATGAAAAGCATGACATTATGAATAAAAGCTTGTAGATTTATTGGTTTAAATGATACAAAGATATTTGTAGGGTTCGGTTGTGGGTAAAGAAGAACCAAATTAGGCTTGAATTTCAAACTTTCAGATTGCTAAATTTTCTGAGTACTTGTAGTTTAAAGCAATGGCCAAACTTTTGGTTTTGTAGTTAAATTGATGGCCAGAAGCTAAAGCAGAGAAGGATGTTTTACAGAGCTACCAGGTCTCAATATGGGAGGATTTTGGGGTTGGATTTTGGGCTGTTCAACCTAAAAATCCTTGGAAATTACCCATGGTATGGTTGCACAAGGCATCAAACAAAGCATCAAAAGCTTCAAATAAATTCTCATTATAGGCAGCCTTAATCCTAATTTTCGTAATTTGTCTGTCTTCAGTTCGGTATCAAAAACCAAAAATCCTATTATCTTCTAACCAATTGTTCGATGACAAAAGAGTTAAATTCTAGGTTTGAAGCTTTATCTCAAGACCATGAAGGAACAAAGAAGACTTTAACCCCTAATCATCAAATATGACCAGAACACTAGACCAAATAACTGTCATACATACACCACCATGGTTAAAGGTTCCCACATAAATGAAGGGCATCTACATATATCCCTGACAAGTTTCTCAAAATAGAAAGGAGAAGCTCAAATTTTGCAATTGACTATAAAAGTATCCACCAAACAAAAGACAAATGTGCTAATACTCTTCAATGTCCCAATCTTTAAAATGCTCTTGACAATAATGACAAGCTTACTGAGTAATATGATGTTGGGGGCCTTAATAATGAACAAACTGTAGAAGCTGATTAAAAAAAAAAAACATTGCAAATGGTAGAAGGGAGGACTCTGCAAAAACCCACCTTTACTGTTCGTTTACTGAATTTCTCAATCTGTTCCTTATCGCCAGTCTACAATGAAAATGGAAGCACATTGCATGACATTTTTCATGTAAAAAAAAAGCAAAAAGCAGGTTACAGCAAAAAGAAAATAGAAAGGGGAAAAGGGAAATAATAGAAAAGACAGTTAATGCTATAATGGAATGTTTTACATGGAATATTCATTTTACCACTAAGGCCTTGTTCAAGTCCTCAGTAGCATCTGCTCTTTTTGAGTGTCTGTACGAAAGAGTACACCATTTGAAAATCATAGTAATCAAACATTTGTGGTCTTCTACACACGTCCAAAAGAAGTAACCAAAAAAAAAAAAAAAAACATCAGAAATATACCGTTTCGCAAGCTCTTGTTTTTTCAAATGGGGAGGCTTTCCATCAAAAACATATCTGAGACAGGGATGAGGCAATTTAGCAAATCACAAACTTTACCAAAAGAGAATGAGCAAAATATGGGAGAGGTAAATGATTGAAATTACACTGGCTTCAATCCAGCTTCAAGAAGCCTAATTGTCCGTGCGAACATCCCTTGCAAATGACTACAACACAGAATCACAATAATGATAGCTTAAATCATAGATAAAAACCTTGCAAATATGAAATAATCAAACTTTTTATCTATTAGAAGAATTTACAAGAACTCCAAACAGAAACTGATTTGGTTCAAAACTGAGGCTTTACCTAGTTACTTCACCAGACTCATTGGTAAGCATTTCAGTCCCATTCCGACCCACAACAATCTACATCATAGACAAGCACCAATTGAACTAAACACACCAGTATGTGCGCATAAATAAAAAAGGGGGTAAATTACCAGTGGTCGCTATAATTTTGTTTTTATGTCATTTTGATTTTTATAATTTTAATTAACTTGATTTTGACTCAAAATTTTTTAATTTTTTTCTCAATTTGATCACAATTGTTAGATTTTTTTTAATGAAAAATGCAAATATGAGCAACATGTGTCATGTTTTTAAAAGTAAATTTATAAACTTTATCAACCAACTTTGTTTAGAAATGTTAACTTTTAGCTAAAAAGTTAAAAAATTATTACAATTTGTCGGATTATTCTCTTTAATTTTCAGAACATATTTCGTAAAAAGTCAAAAAAATCAACTAAAATAACCAATTTCCAAACAAGCCTTAGTGATAATTTTGTGTCAAAATTGGACCAAAATGACACAAAATCTAGGACTTGTGGTGTAATTTGCCCATGAATATGGGAGAGTGAGAGAGAAAACGGACAAGGAACTGGTAGATGCTCATGCTGGCATCAATGGCGATTTTGCGGCCTGAATAGCTTTCAAATTTCTGCTCTGTCATTGCATTTGGAGCTTTGTCTGCAAGAAGCTTCGTTAAACCCTACGCACAGAGAGAGAGAGAGAGAGAGGCACAGAGGATGTAAATTCGAAAAAATTACATACATAACACGAAATCATCAAAGCTAAAGCAGAGAAGGATGTTTTACAGAGCTACCTTTATTCCCATAGAGAGAGAGAGAGAGAGAGAGAGAGAGAGAGATTGATGAATCACTCCGAAAATAAAAAACGCAGCGAGAGAGAGAGAGAGAGAGTCAAAGCTTGACAAACCGTCTCAGTTAGGGTTCTAACATTTTCCCGCCTCTATACATGGATAATAGGTATCACTGGAACACGCGCATGTAAAGCGCGTGGATATCACAGGTATACTAGTAATATTGAATTCGAAGCCCCTTTGACTCTGATTTCATTTTCTAGGGAAACAAACAAAAGGTATCACCGATTGCAAGAAGAAACTGGTACGATACGCCATTCTTGTCAACTTCTATATAGCTATATATACACACACATATAAATATAATACACAATCACTCCTCTGCTAGGCAGACCGAATTCATTTTGAAACCCTAAAACGAAAAATCGTTTCTCAAAGAAGTTTGTATTATGCTTTCAGTTGTGAAGACAACACATTATTAATACTAATTGTCGGTTGTTGATATTAAAAATTTAGGATTGATTGAACTCATTTATGTAATCTTGAACTGATTGACATGTATAATTGCAGAAGCATGTAAAACATCTTCAATTGCTGAAGAAGATGCAATAGTATGTAAATGAGTAATTTCCATTATGATGCATAGGCAATTCCTGTTGTATCTTCCACTCGAGTCATAATTTTACTATTTTTAGAAAATCACACTTTAGAATTGGAATAACGGTTGGCATACGAATGCACTTTTCAACCTAGTCAAGTTGAATAGCACGATCGAAATACTTTTTGGCTATATAAATGAACTAGTATGGTTACACTACTGGAATTTTGGCTAATTTTACCAGCAAGTTGTTGAGGCTTGGAAGTATGGAATTCAAATTCTTCATGAACCCTAAATTAATGATTTTATTTTTATGTTTTGATTTACTTTCCCTCTATGAATGGAGGAGAATTCTGTTTTCGGAAGCATATATAAAAAAGAAGTTGCGAATCTGTGATGATATTATTTAAATGAAGCATGGTTGCAAATGTTTGGGAACTGACAGAGATAAAGGAGAATAGAAAGTTTGGAGTCAAATATTGGCAGATCCTCTAAAGAGTCAATAATTGTTTTTCTCCCCAATGAAATTTATATTCCAAGCTATAGTTGTTATCGTGGTTTTAACCTTTATGGTGTGTTTGGTTGGAGGATTTGGAGAGGCATTTGGAAAGGGAAAGGGAAAAGGTGTGTGAAACTATGTGAAATTTAGGCATGTTTTATTTATATTTCACCTACCTTTTCCATTTCCCTTTCCAAATCTCTCCTCAAATCCCTCAACCAAACACAACATTAGGGGCATTGCTTGATGCAATACTACAAGCAGGCTGCCAAGTGTGAGAGCATGGGTTAAAGTCTGAGAGTAGCTACACAGAGTTGGTTTTATCTGGTCTTTTATCCCCTGCACCATTGATCAACTAGGTAATGTCTTTGTAATGTTCTTTAATGAAACATACTATGTTTAAGACTAAATTTAACAGGTTACATTTTTTCTGACCACATAATTTGTGTTGACATGCTTAGAGTAGGGGTTAATCTTGGGCTTTTGTAGTACTCAAAATCTGATTTTAGGTTATGCAAGACTATAAGACAAAACATATGGATGTAGGAAGAGAATTGAATCAGGATGGAAAGAACAGAAAAGTGAACCCAGAGTGTTATGTGATAAAATTTACTGATTGTTGTAAATCAATGCCACATTTTGATGGTTGTATCTATAAAAGGCTAAGAATATTGGTCTTCTAACCATGATTATAACTAGCATGACCATAGTGGATCGATCTAGCATTTTCAAAAGCAAATCAACGAAATTTGGCGTAGATCTTGAATCACGACTTCAAACGACTGTGCTTTTCTATGTTCAGATTAAGAGACACCTCTTTAAAGTTTTCCTTCCAATATTTTACTTAGTTGAGTGGATACATTATTTGTAACCTAGATCTACTTGTTTGAAGTTTGGCTTTAAAGACTTGTCAATGAAACTTTAGATTTTGTAACCCAACTTCCAAGGTTAGACTTTATGATCAAGTTAAGTTTTTATGTAATGTAATGCTTTTTGATTTTGTCAAATCTAGTGTAGATGAAAGAATAAAGCTTTTATTCTTTCTCTATCTTTTCTTTTTGCTCTGTCTTTCTTTTATTTTTATTTTTCTAAGAAAAAAAATGTATTAGATGGAGGAACATTAAGAGATTACAGAATAAAGGGGCATAATGTGGCTTCTAAGTTTTGTGGGGAGGCTATTAAAATTGATGTTAAATGTTTAAAGGAATAGCTAGCAGATTTGAATGTGTGACAAGTAATTGGGCAGCAGATGATGAAACATCTTAAAGAGAGAAAGGACAAACAGAGAGAAAAAGCTCAAACAAGAACGAAGAATTAGAACCTTAATTAAGTGGAGGGAGTTGATACTATGATTATGGGAGGACAGATTTCGTTGAGTTAAAGAGATGACTACTGCCTGGTAGGATAGCCTGAGGGCATAACATGAGTGTGACGAGGAGAAAATATTACGAGCTAGTTGGGGCTACGGAGTATAATACGATGCAAGGGGTAATTTTATTGCTAAGGTTAGTGGTAATAGGCAGGGGAGAGGAATGGATACCACAAATGAGTAGCTGCGACATGCCAAAAATCAAAAAATGAGTTTTTTTATGCAGAAGTTGGGGGATGAGTGTCCAAATTCATTACTTTTAATTTTGTAGCTTTCCATGTAATTGATTCTCCTTCGAAGGAGATAGCCAAGGCTTGATGTTGCAAGAACTAGAGGCAGGTCATAAGGATTCTAATTATGAAAGGTGTAGTTTTCGATTAGGATCTTCTTCCATACATCTCTCTGCAAAACTATGTTGTTTTATGGTATATGGTTTTAAAAATATATGTAGTATTTTAATGTCATTTTACATTAGTTTTAATTTAAACTCAAGCCGTTAGATTATGTATTGTGCTGTGATAAAAAAACACAACACAATTATTGCAAGAAAACAATGGCAGAGAATCCTTGTCCCTAAGCTTTGCTTGCCCAACAATCGCCCAAAGAATATATTGCTTATAGCCTTCCAGGGCATATAGAGAGAGAAGAGATACTTTTGTGCATGGTATTTTGGAGCAGCCTCACTATGAATAAAACACAAAATTTTTAACACAAAGTAAGCAGTAACAGAGATATTGAGTTTCTCTGATTCATTGGTGCCTCCATACGTGTCTACCAGGACTGGTAAGTTTTATTTTAGGTTGTTTGACACAATTTTGGAAGAAATCAGATAACAAAATTCTGTCCAAATGGTGACTAATCTTGAAGCAACAATTAAATCTGTTAGTGAATGTTATTCAAAAAGAGGAAGAGCTTGATTTCCCATACAGAATGCTTTTCATTATAGAATCAACATGCTTTCACATTTGGCATTCTTATGTCTTGCGTATCTCATTGTTCAAATGAGGGCCAGGTAGCTCTTATACGAGTAAAATGGTGTAGTTCTAATTCCTAGTAAAAGATCAATTTTTGTTGTTGAACTCAAGAGGATAGAATAGAACTGCAAAAAAATTGCAGGAGTGATCCTTATGGTCGATGCATAAGCTGTTCCTAGCATCTTTCATGTCGTTGTTGCACTACCAAGTCGTGATACTAGCAAATGTTTTTATTATTGGAAACAACTAGCAATTATAAATCTTTTTCATACAATTTTCAAGGAATGTTTGTTTTAGCTCTTTCAGCTATCTTAATTTCTAGTCTTTAATTGTTGGTTTGGACAGATAAAATACTTCATTGTTGTGTGCTGCGTAAGATAAAAAGTTGATATACATCTGCAATCATGCATTCTTGATCTGCAAATTCGTAAAGCAACAACAGTGACATTCAATATGGCATCTTATGTCAACGAATAAATAAATTTATCATGTGTGATGATTCAAAAGACAGCATTTTGTTGCGATATTATCCATCTCCGGTTGATGGTTTATTTTATTTATGCATACTGATAGCAACTCACATATATTATTTGCAGCTGTGGAGTTTGTTGAAAAGTTAGTTTTAATGCAGCAGGCCTTGTTCTTAGAGTTATGCACAATTCAACTCAACTAGTTTTTGTGTCAATTAGAGTTATATGGATCCATTTCATTCAATTATTAAGCCTAATCCTTAATTAAGTTTAAGATAGTCATGTTTTTCTTACTAACCCAACCAAGTGTTTCTCGGTCTTCTACTAATATCTTTTTTAATCACTCTTCACTTGGATCAAATCACTTTATTTATTTTTTTGCAGCACATTAATTGATCCATGATGATATGACCATGCCACCTTATCTTATTCCCAAATGGTATCACTTCTAACTTCTTCTTACTGAACTCATTTCTTATTTTATGTTACGATGACAAGACCACACCATCTTATCTTATTCTCAATTGATGTCACTTCTAACTTATTCTAATGAATTCATTTCTTGTTTTATGTTTTCGTATAATGTGGCTTATCCATCCCAATTAATGATGGGCAATGTTATGTGGGTTCTAGCTTAGTAACCGATTCATGCAGCAGAAGTGAGAGTGCTTCATTTGTCAAAATATTGTTAGAGCTTTAGCTTGGCATTTTTGTAATGCATTTTTATCAAGTTGGCAGTGATAAACATGGATTATATTTTACATTTTTTTCCTGAGAAAGTACATATTCTTTTTTCATAATTACTTGATTTCCAAAAGCGATACATGTGTGTGTGTTTGTGTGAAAGAGAAAAGAAGGGCATTTAATTTGTAAAATATTCACATAAATGCACACCAGAAACATGGGGGAGACCTTTTCAACTATGCCCCAATTGCAATGAAAAAAGCACCTTTAAAGTAAATCTTCGTTGATGAAGGAAAAAAAAGGAAACAGTCTTTAGGAAGCTTAGATAGCAGATGTGTTTCTTTTGTTTTTTTAAACATTTAAATTTCAAGCAAAAGATAAGAAATGACCATTCCAGAGAGAGAGAGAGAGAGAGAAAGAGAGAGAGAGTAAAATGAAATGTAGGGTTGCATGCACGTTAGCAGCATGTGGAAGTTTTACTTTTCTACACAAATATGTATAGTGATGGACCACACATAATATTCTTGCAGTAGGGTAGCATTTACAATTTATAGAACATTTACTGTGCATGAATTTACAATCTATAGAAGAACCTTTACTATGCATGAATCATAGTTAATGCCAGGCTAGAAGGCTTCAAGATGTTTCTACTTATTGATAGATCAGTACCGTCAAGGGGAATTGAATTACATAACCTGCTGCCCATTGAGTTATTTTCCTTTTAGTTCGGAGCTTGTCTCTTTAAAGCTGAAAGTGATATCTATTGTGATGTTTTTGACAGATTTATCAATATATTTAAGATTTTTTTAGGGTTTTCTTCATCATGTAATATATATGTGCATCCGACTAGGTCTACCGATTATTGTGAATTGTACTTAAATATATTTATTATTAGGGTAACTAATTTGGGCTAGCTTAGTTGGTTTTAGGTGTGCACGGTTGATGCAGTAGTGATTGATAGCAAGTTCATGGAGCAATTTGATTATTTGATGGTAAACAGTAATTTTGTTGATTTTCTATGGCCATCGGATCAAGATCAAAACAGCCATATTCAATCCAAAATAGCTCAACATGTACAACTCACTCCCATGTAGTGACCTCTTAGATTTTGAGTGAATTCCATCACCAGATCTATAAATTAGGAAATTTGTATATTTGGAAAGATTTTTGAATACTTGATTTTAGGATTTAAACAAATCCATTTCATGTTTTTTTCTAAAAAAGCTTTTTTTATATTCTTAGATTAGAAATTTGAGCTTTAACTCAAACATTTTTTTTTTTTTTAAGTTTTCGGCTTTGTTTAATCTTGGCATAGTCACCAAACATTGTTGTTATATATATATGGAGTTGCAAATCTGATTCTATTAAGTTGTTTTTTGAGTTATAAAATTCATGAAGCCTGGTTCTCTCTTTTTGTATTTTTTTGTCTTTCGTCCATTTCATATGCTAACCTGTATCAATAATTCTCACTTGCACTTAACACATATCTTATTTCTTATTCACCAAGGATCCTCTAGAGTGAAATTTTTCTAAAGTTTCCCCCTATTTATGTGATATATTCTATGTATTGCATACTAGAAAAAGGGTGATGATTAAAAAAATATAATAGTTGGAACAACTTATGATTACTACGCCACTAAGTATGCTCCAATGTGACAGTTTAGAGATTCCCTAATTATTGCAAATTCGGCATTAGTACTCTAATCGGCAGCTGGATTTGTGGGCGTCAATAAAGAAGAAATTTTATGTTTTTAAAATTATATCATGGTTTGGAAAATGTTAGAGATTTTAAAAGATTTATCAAAATTTTTATCATTGTATTTTTTGGAGTCTCTAGCATTATGGTTTTGGAGTAAATTTATGTGATATCCCAATTGGTTTTTTATTGGTTGAAACAGCGAGATTTACTATTTTTGTGTTATTTTTCAATAGACAAGAGGACAAGTGATATAATCTGAATGGCGTGAAGCATTACTCTAAAACCATCATAACATCTCATGAAGCCAAAGTGGCTCATATATTATTGTTAGTATGGTATAATCAGAGCTTTTGGCTTGGTGATTGTGTAGGCACCATTTTATAGTGTGAAATCATGTGTTTGAATCTTATAGAGATGAGTTTGAATATGCTTTGTGATGTTTATTTTCTCCCTATTATGGAGACCATATATAATTGTTTGTTTCTACCTACTTTGGGCTATTCTTATGGTGGTGATTGGGCTTGGTGACTATTGACTTTCTAATTATTATTAGAATTTAGTTGTCTAATTTGATGTAATGCTTTTCACATTTATAATTACTCTTAAAAAAGTTAAAAAACATATGATCTATTTTCATATGGAATAGTTTTTTAGAAAACTACGAACCCTTCTGCTTGAGAGACAATTTAAGAATACACACCATCTCATTGGTTGAACTAATGAGGCCGTCTCACCAAAAGTACAAAATGGATTAATGAAGTGGTGTGCATTGTTCACAAGTGTGAACAAATTTGCATTCCTTTTGCTTCATTTAATTTATTAAAAAACCTGAAAAGATTAAAGAAAAATGAATTAAAATATCAATAAATATATATCCACTAAAAATATAGGCACATGTTAGGCTTTTCTAAAACCGGTTTTCATGAAAAAAAAATTTTGAACAAAAAGTATTTATGTTGAAAATATAAATAAAAAAAAAATTAATGGGAAAACGGTTTTACGAAAACCGTTTTTAATTAATTCAGAATAATTAAAATCTTAATCAAAAACGGCTTTAGAAAAGCCGGTTTCCATTTTCAAATTTTATTATTATTTTAATCGATGAATACGGTTTTGTGAAAGCCGGTTTCTGAAAAACGGCATTTGAAAAACCGTTTTACCCTATTTTGAGAATAAAGATAAAAGTACACCCTAAAATGGGACTAAAATGTTCAAAATGGCACAAAGAGGGAAATTGGCCTTAATGAAGTGGTGTGCATTGTTCACAAGTGTGAACAAATTAGCACTCCTTTTGCTTCATTTAATTTATTAAAAAACCTGAAAAGATTAAAGAAAAATGAATTAATATATCAATAAATATATATCCACTAAAAATATAGGCACATGTTATGTGTGAAATAACTATGACAAATATTTGAAACCATTTAGATTTGAGAGAATTAAAACAATTTAAATTTCATGACAGTTACCATTTTTTGAGATATTTTAGAAAAGTAAAAAAAGCTTAACAAAATTACGCCAACTTAAGTATAAGTTTTATAGAATATATATATATATATATATATGGTTGATGATGCGTATAGCTTGATAATACTATATAAATGAAGAAAATTGCAAAAGGATCGCACAATTATACTGTTCAGTTGTTTTTTTCATTTTTGGTTTCTTGTTTTCATTTTTAGAAAAAATTAAATTTTTTTTGAAGTTTTTGAAAATAAGGAACACAATCAATTACTCCCTTGGTAACCCTTCCGTTTTTTGTTTGGGCACTTTGGGTTATGAAAATTAGATGATAATATTGAAGAAGGAATTAATAAGATGGTTTTTTTTTTTTTTTTTAAATTCTAGAACTTATCAAATACAAACCTCAGTTGGGTTAGGAAAAAGAGGAATTTGAAGAGAGCTCTCTCTATGGAATTTGAAGATGATGTTTACCAAGTTGCCCCTTGCTTCATCCGTCATTCAAACAAGAAGAAAGATCCAAAGTGTCAAAAATTCCCTTTCACAAAGAAAGGAAAAGAAAAGGAAAGAAAAAGTTGTTTAAGAATTGACCGAAACTCCAAAGTTACTGTTGTATTTTAATATTTGATTGCCAAGAAATAATGCATGGTTTATTCATCATGTTATATGATAAGACTAGCTAGTTGGCTTGAGGTGGTGGAGGGGATATGTAGAAGATGGAAAATGACTTTGTACATTGTCTATTCACATATATAATGAGAGAGTGAGACCCATATTCCCCAATAGATGCTTTTAGACATCAAATATCCTTTTGAGTCTTAAGAAGAAAAAGTTAATGAAGAGAGTCATTTTTCAATAGTTTTCATACCGATTACAAATAAAAGATTTAAGATATCGAGTTTGAACTTTTTAAAGAGTCACTGAAAGTTTGCGTAATCGTTAATTTTAGGACTTTTAAGTTTAATTCTCAACTATCCATATATGAGATAATTTGGGCCTTTACTTTGTTTTCCACTAAAACTTGGTTTGCAATTAAATCATATAGAGATAAAAGAAGATAAAGTTCATTTTCACCCGCAAATTACTTCACAAAACTAGTATTTGGCGGAGAAGAACTCCCATTTTCCTCCTTTGCTCTTTGTACTACCAATTTAGCCAGTTTATGCGGTTTGCCTTCAAAAAATTATATATCGTTAACGAGTTGGGACAAAGTGAATAAATTTTAATAATTTAAAATATTAATCGTTAAAATTAATAATTCAGATAATAAAGTGACACAAAGATAATAGTTTAAGGGATAAAGTAAATCTTTTCATCTAGATATTGTTTGGGGTAAAGTAAAATAATTGGAAAATGCTAAATGCATAGATTCAAAACATAGAATTATTCACAAGACAATGTATGGGTGGTTTAGATTAATTTAAGATGCGGTTCCCACTATACTTCAAATGTATCTAAACCACACATTTTGTGAATGATTTTGCGCACCATTCGTGCACCTAAAAGCACTTAAAATAATTTTAATAGGTGGATATGCCAAGGACTTTGATCCTCTCTTTGTAACGGAGAATTTTTTTATTATATATCTAATGATTATGAAATAGAAATGTAAATATATAATTATTTTAAATCAAGAAAAAATATTACACTATCCAAAATGCTAATTATTAAAATTAATAGTTTAGGAAGCTGAGTAATATAAATTTGATAGTTTGATGAGACAAAATAAAATCTTCTCAAAATATAATTGAGAGAGAGAGATCACTTTGAGTTTTGAGGTGGAAAATACTTTGCATGGTTGGGTTGGGCATGGCCCCATGAACTACTTGGTTTGCTTTATGATATACTATTGACATGTCATGTATGATGTAGGGGTGGCCAAAAGATATACATATGCCCCAACTACACTATTTGTCCCTACAAGTCACAATTGCTACATAATATGAGCATCTAAGCTATTTTAGCTATGGCAGAAGTGACCAACAACAATGGCGATATTTTCCCCCACTAAAGCATTGAAAAAATGTTTTTAGCTTTATACTTTCAAAAGATAATTAATTTGTCTAATTTGCTGTTAGTATGACAAAAACAAAACAAACAAAAATAAAAAATTATGTAGCCGACCCCACCTAAGTAAAACACAATATTTATTTGGAGTGTCCTAAATAAGTGTATTTTTTGTCTTTTTGAACTAAAAAGTTGAGGAAAAAAATATAAATGTTTGAGTTAACTTTTTGACTTTTTATGAAAAAATGTGTATTAAAAAATTGTATAAATAAGTGTGTAGGAAAAGATAGGGTAGGAGGCCGTACGGATTGGCAATGGAGCCGGTTGAGTGAGTAGATGAGGAAATATTGTCTCCTTCTCGAGCTTTAATTGGATGGTGTTGTTTGGCCCGTGGGGGTCCATCACGGGTCCCGTTTTTCTAATCGGAACCGTTCAATGTGTAGAAATTGTCGATTACTATATGCTTGTAAAAAATCACGTTAATTGGATATCGATAGCTATTTGATCGTGTTAGTTTTTTTTCTTAACTGTTAACTATAGCACCATCCATTTTTATACAAAACTAATGTGATCATGTAGTTAGCGATATCCGATAGACGTGATTTTTTACAAGCACATAGTACTAGACGAGTTATACATATTGAAACGGTTCAGATTATCAAAACGAGACCCATGGCGGGCCCCCACGGGCCCAACTTTACCATCTAATTTAGTGAATATTCCACTATAATTTTTTTTTCCTTTATCACTAACTAAACTCATCACGTCAGTACCATCATTTGGGCCAACTTTTTGATTTGTATTAATATTTTTATATTAATTTTTTAATATTTTTTTTTATAAATACTTAGTGAATGTACAAATGTAATTTTTTTTACCCTTTCACTGCAGTTGGTTTGACGTTAGTACATTGATGTGCCAAAAAGTTGATTTGTATTTTAATATTTTTATATTAATTTTTTAATATTTTTTTTTTATAAATAGTGATAACTTTTTAATTTTTTGAATAATTTTTTAACTTTTTTTAAGGTTGCCAAACCCGCCCTTAGTTTGATTTAAATGTGCTCTAGCTGAGTTTGCTCCTACCCAACAACCCCCATTGAAATTTGAATACTTTTTTTATCTCTCCAATCTTTCTTCTTCTTTTTTTTATATTTATTTTTG